GTACAAACGTGTTCTCTGTCTCTCACAGAAGAGTTCTTGCCACCGAGAGCTCCCTTTTCAGCAAAATGAATCATTTATGTCATTATGACTCCATTATTGTTTTTCCTATCTGGTCAGTGCTCGTTGATATAAACTCGACAGTGCATACCAACTCAGCAGCCCGGTACGGAAAATAATAGCGTACGGCAGAAGTCAATGCATCTGGAAGTTACCTGTAGTTTTTGAAGGGAACCTCAATGTTTATTTTACTAATTTCCAATGCACGCAGAAATAGAACAGTATGCACAATGTTTCTTCCAGCCATGTTAGGGCTGTCTTTATTAGATTCCGAGGAACTCGAAACAGTCTATCTTATTTACTTCCAATACGCATAGAAATTGAAAGATAACTAAACAGTGACCCTCAATATGATAAGTAGTAATAGTATCTTCCAGGAACTCGGAAAGGATCTAAAAAATAAAACTATTATATTATAAGTAATGCAAGAATTTAATAGTTATTCCACTCAATCTCAAACCGTGAATATCGTCTGAATTCTCATAATCGGTGACACTGCGTATTACACATCTGGCGTCGTGTGTTAGCAAGTCTCCAAGGAAGAGGCCGTCCGGCATTGCTATTCACAAGTTGCCTTATGAAGCAGGACTTTTTTGACATGCTTGGCATGTAAGAACTGTTGTAATATTAATATTCTATACTATGTTATTGCAGTATATGTGAAGATGTTGTTGGTAAAATAATTCATTTATCGCGCAGTATTATACGAGAGTATTTCACGTGTCCTTGAGCACTGAGCGTTCTCTTTTATACGCTTTTGTTCAGCAGCATTTCTGCTGGTGTAGACCACTAGTTTGGTATTATACGCGAAAGTCCAATGATCACATATGATATCATCTCTCTGATGTATTGTACATGCATTTTAAACCAAAGTCTGGCGTCGATCACGATCCCCACATTTTAATGAAAGCTGTTGGATGTCGCTCTTGGTTAGCAGGGTAATGGTCTCACTTTTCTGTTCCTAATTATTCCAACACTTGTGACCATCATGATGCAGATCAACCGCAACCAGTGTCGAAATGTAGCAAGAGCTAGAATATCGAATATGTTTGTTTTCATTCATTAGTGAATTTCGTTGTGGTACCTTCGCAGCTGTAAATGAATGCGAGACATAACACGCGGGCGTTTTCTAAACTTCCCGTTCTACAGAGAGTAGAAGCAAGCGAGATGCTTACTGAGAATCAAATAAGTCTTCTTTTCATGTAGTTAACAATATAAAAAGGCACAAGTAATTTCGAGTTTGAGGCGAATAAACTATGATTTCTATAGGTAAAACTATTCCCTATTGATTCCTTCGTCTTGATGGAATTAAATGTGTATTCGATGACAATATTTTTTAATATCTTTTGTACATCATCCTATGCTCAATCGTACCTTACTTTGCTTTTAAAAGCTTCCAGTAAAGCAAACTACAGATTACATCACGTTCTTAGGAGAACTAGAGATAACGTTATGCAAAACTGCTATCCCTCTTTCCAATCCGTTCTTGAATTTGGAGATTTTAACATTGATTTTCTCGTCGAATCTTTCAAGAAAGAGTAGTTTGTCAATTCAATCAATTATATCAGTTTAGTTATTACAATAAATGTATACGTGGACCACACTTAGTGCAAAGAAGGCAATTGATCGTATAATAATTAACAGAACCACTACTGGATATGAAATTGAACCGAAAGACATAGAAAACAATGAACACGATGCAAAAAATGTTTGCCATTGCAAGAAATGCGAACACAGATAATAAATAATACACAGAATCACATGTAGAATGTTCAGAGAAGTGGTGAACTCCTATGCATCGCTAGAAAACTACTCCACCATACGCAATCAAGAGAAGGTAATGAAATCAGAGGCAGCTCATTCCCGTTTGAGGAATGATTTATCATTTACACATAAAAGATACTACATCTTCATTGTATTCTCTTCATATTATTTTTTCAGCCATCGTTTTAAAGTAATTTAAACAGTCAGGCAGAAACGAGTTCTCTGCCTTCTTCCTCTTCTTTTTATTTCAAATGTAGTTATTACATGCATTTTTTAACAATAATCCTTCTTTCTTTTTGAATGTCGACGAGTTGAGATTGTTAATCAATGTTTGCGATAAGCAGAGTGGGTTCTCCCGTTTTCCTGGCCTCTCTTCCTCCTCCTCCGACTTCACGGTCATTAGCATCTCAAAACCATCATCAATGCGTTCAAAACAAACGCCCTGTCGGGGAGACCTGACAACACTCATATTAAGATTTCTCAGTTCGAAACAACGGCCATTGTGTCATCTTCCCGAACATTTCAGCCATTCCATAAATAAATAAAAATGACATTTGTAAACCTCCTCTGAAGACATTGCTAATCTAAATACGTGATAAATAGCGAATACTGTATCTACTCTACTAGAATGCAAATGTAGCATCTGAGTCTATCCTCGTCCAACTACTACTTTCAACAAGGATGGTTGCAGGAACCAGCAAAGGTTCCAAGAATGCTTTTTGTCTCATGGTACGGAATGCTCAGTATACGCGCAAGTAGTAAACATCACATTTGTAAACTACAAGAACACAAGAGTAAAGAAATCGCTACAAGTCTTTATTGACCTCTGTAACATGCGTCTATTTTGTGTTCTGTGCTAACATTTGCCGGAATACACAACACTCGTTTACCTTATGTCCAACAGCTTGATAAACATTCCCGGTGTTCCCTCCCCTTTAAACTTTTCCATCCTTTGTTTCACTGATAATGCTTAGCTTTCACATAACAGTGTATGTATAAGTTGCACATGAGGCTTGGTTTTCAGGACGCAGGATTACAGGGTAATGAGAGGGCTTAGATGTCAGAGCGTCCAAAAGCAGATGATTATATGAATACATGATAATCGGTAATGAATGACGACGGATATGGAAATGAATGATGATACGATATAATGGATGGCAGGAGAAATGAGAGTACCTGCGAAAAAAAATGTCACGACCTCATTCGTCGACCGCAAATTCCACACGGGGTGACGGACTTACGAAGTCTGGTTCGGACAGCAGAGAGCAGACACAACCTCATTTCATGGACCACCCCAACAAACAATACTTCAACAGTCGAAATTACTTAATATTTCAAGACAGGAAACCTCCAAGTCTTAGCTAGAAAGGCACAGGGCGGGAATACACACGAACACATTTTGCGACGAATGCAACTCATCACTGATGATAGACGCTACGATTTTGACTCTTTTCCCAAACGTTCACAAGCAATCTAAAAAGAAATAATTACAAAAATGTTTCGGATTTCATTTATGGACAATTATCAATTCGGGTTTTAAATTCGAATTCATTGAGGTTACACATCACTTTTCAATGTCACTCATGTTGGGAAACTTCTTAAACAACGACACTACGTCTATTCACTATATCTCTTTATAATTTATCTTCAGAGTGGTGAATGTGGTATTCTAAACTATACGTAGTCTTTTACATTGTGACAGCACTGCGACTTGTGGCAATGAGTCAAACTACTGTGCATTAGATACATTTATATAAGAGTGCATTAATTTTCTCGCCAAAAACTAAACTCTTAGAATTTGAAAAAGGTTGCTGCTATCAAAAATTTTGGTTTCAAGAAAAATAGGTGTCATTGCGGCTTACCAATGTCTAATTCAAATGCGCTATGCTGCACCCAGACATATCCCCTGCAGGTGCGATGTGTTGGGGAGTTGAAGGAGAGGGGGGTAATTCTCGGTGTGGTGGCGCGACTCCTAGGGAATGTCTTATTATTTCGCGTTTCTGAGCACGACAACTGCTATGGTCCTTAGCCCCTCACATATAGTGCGTGTGTTATTACAAGAGGTAGCGATGTTCATCCCTCGCTGGTTCGTGAGATCCGGCGACGACTTACACATCGGCACTGCCCCAACCAGGACCAGCTCTACGTTCTCGACGTGTCTGGTGGTGAAGTGCATGAAGTGTAAATCTGTATATGTAAGTGGCGAGGATAGGAAATGATGCCGGTAAGGAGCGGTGTCGTGGTGTCACGACTACATCAGGTACGCCTCGCGTACACCCAGCGCTTTGCTGGCCCGAACCTCGCGCTCTGACAGTCGAGATGCAACAGCCTGCAATGTGACTAACTCACCTAGTCGTCGTAGAGTTTTAATTGTCGTGACAGGTGTTTGTTGAAAGAAAAAAAAAGAACTCGTAACTGGGCGCGCCCACAAATAGGAAATACTCACTCGCCCCATCCCCCTCGACCGGCGAGTGTCGAATATTCACGACGTCGGTTTTCCAGCATCGGAGTCGAGCAGCGGGGCCCAGGCCGGCACGGGCATGGCGAGTCGGCGCGTTGGTTCCTGCGGTGGGCGATTGCGCTCCAAATAACGCAGGTCGGCCGCGTTACTCAACCCCGGTTGCGCACCCCCGCCCCGCACCTGTCCCCGGGATTATTTATTTATTTCACGTGTCCCAGCCACGACATATTACACGCGGCGGAGAGGGACTAACGCGACCGCGCTGTCAACGCCCCAGCCAGCGCCAGCAGTTGCGTCGTTGGGCGAGGCGGCTGCAGTGCGTAGCTCAGAGGCGATCGGTTGGGTTCATTGCTGCCACGACTCGATCGCGGACGGTTTGGAAAGAGATGCGTCGGCGAGACAAGGCTAGCTGTACGATGAAGAGGTAATAGTGGGAGAAGCAGACACACGATTGTTTCATGTTTATTTTAATAAACGTTGGTTTCAATTAAAGTAAAGAGGTCAAAAACTTTACAAATAAATAGAATATTTTAACAAAATGGTTCAAACCAAATTATATTCTTTTCTATTTTAATGTGAGAGTGTTTTTAAAATAACAAACTGTGTAAACTGTACAAAAACTATGAAAAGGTAATTTCTTTTCTAACATTTTTATTTACATTAGCAACTTTCAACTTCTTAGACATCGTCAGATCGATTTGCAAGCTCGTAATTCGTCTCATCGATTAGATATGACGTTGAAGACCGAACCAACCAAAGCTGAACGTATACTAAAATTAAAATATTAATAAAACATTAATTTTAATCGAATATTTGGAATGACAACAATGTTTAATGAATATACAAATTATCTTCACGTTGCTTAGTTATGCCATGCAATAGTCGACGAGGTATATTTCACTAAATAAATTACTATTACTATTACTATTATTAGCTTTATTATCATTATCATTATTATCATTATTATTATTATTATTATTATTATTATTATTATTATTATTATTATTATTATTATTTTCATGAAGTTAAGCAATATATTATATATAACTCTTAAATTTTAATACCTAACTAATAAGTAAATACCAAATCAGTTTGTTCAACTGTATTGCGACTTAGTACTGTTATTTATTTTCTACTACCTACTTTCCCCTCGATTTACAATGGTAAACTGGGTGGTTCCTCATCTTCTGAAAAATATTGGCATTTTTATTCAGGTGCTCCTCGCATCTATTCTTCGTTTTCCCGGACAACGTATAATCTTCTTTCATTGACGAGACGGAGGATTTAAAAACGACGCTGCATCAACAAATGAATCATTCAAAGGGCATGCAGCAGCCTGCAATGCTCAGTCTCACGTACGAGAGCTCAGTTTACATTAAAATTTCATTGGCAAGGTGAGCAGCCGTGCAGAAGCAGGGCAGGGCGGGGTCAGATGGTGACTGGCGAGTTCCATTTTCCGAACGCGATCACGCAGGCCGGCGATGGCAGCGGGAGACGGCGGGTGTGAATGAGAGAGCGAAGGTGGTGTAAGAGACAGAGAGAGGATGAAGGCTGGATGGGGGCGGGTGTAAGTGTGGGGGCAGAGGCAGAGGAAACGAGTAAGGTGGAAGCGGAGGAAATGGAGGCGGGGGAGGTGG